GGAAAGCCCAGGATGGTGTGGCTCAGTGGTTGAATGCCAGCCTGCGAACCAAAGGGTCGCTGGTTCAATTCCCAGTTCAGGGCACATGCCTGGGTTGTGGGCCACATCCCCAGTAGGGGGCTAGGCAACCACACACTGATGTTTCCCTCCCTCTCTTTTCTTTCCCTTCTCCACTCTAAAAATAAATAAATAAAATCTTTTTTAAATTTTTAAGAAAAAGAAAAACAGGATATAACACAATTATAGCAGAGCTTAAAAAGAGAACTATAAAATGTCATAGATTTATTAACCTTTAGAACTTAGAAAAAATGGGACAGTTTCCTAGAAAAGTAAAGATTACCAGAACAGATTCAGGAAGAAAGGGAAAAGCTGAGCAACGCTGTAACTATTAAAAAACTACTGACCTCAGGCTCTGCTTAGGAGGCTTGAATTTTACTAATTTGCAATTAGTTAAATAATGCTTATAGCTTTTCCTGTAGTGTAGTCATATCTACCAGAAGTTGTCATTCAAAATAGTTTTGAATAATAGCCTGCATAGTATAGTGATATGAATGTTAGGTGAATAAATGGGATTCCAATAAAGTTCATATACCCTATTATTATTTTAGATTTTTTAACACCTTTCCCATCCCTTTACAAGTGTAGGATGGGATAGAAATCGGGTGTTTGAAATCACCCCAAGCACCCCACCAAATTCCTAGCTGGCCCATGTCTCAGATGCAGCCAGGAGGCAAAGGTGGGACGCTCAGAAGCCCCTTGGAGACGCATGCTGGTTTCAGGAGCATCACGAGCAGCTTCAGGGGCACTCTAGAACCTGACTCTCTGATCTTCTAGATGCCCTCTTCTCTGAGCCCCACCTTCATCAACCAGTGATGAGGTGGACCAGTAACCCTAAAATCCCTTCTAGCTCCAAATCCAGTGACGGTGGTCCTAAACTTCTGAAACCGTCATCCGAACAAACACATAAAAAGCAGAGTTTAATGTATCCCTTTCCATCAAAATTAAAGCAGGCTTTTGGGAGCAGATGCTTATTGATGCTGTATGATTAGGACAGGAAGGATCTTGGTACCCCCTACTTGGGTACCTATCTAAAATTTTCCTTAATAAAAATAAATTTAAAATAAGTAAATAAACACTTATGGTTAGTGAATAACATCCTATACAAACAAAAGCAAACTCACGCTTAAGAGGGTAAACTTGCTTCAGCAGAAGTGACATTGAACTTTACTGGCTCTACCTGCTGTCTTGGAACCCTGCTCTGCCATGGAGAACGAGCCCAGGCCAGCCTGCTGGAGGATGAGAGGCTACATGGAGCAGTCACCCGAGCCAAGCCCTTCCCAGTTCCGCCACCCACAGATGACCCCAGTGGATGCAAGTCCAGGATCAGCTGAGCTGGGCCGCCCTTAGCAAAATGTTTGCTGCTGCATACATTTGTGAGGTTCCCGTTATTTGTTAGGCAGCACTGCTGTGGCCATAGATAACTAATGCACTTGTATGAAATCACATGGAATACTTTTTATGATAAAATGATGAATATAGATTATACATTTGTCCAAACCCATGGAATGTACACCAAGAATGAACCACAATGCAAACTATGAACTTTGAGCGATTATGATGTGTTAATGTATCACAGATTCATTGACAGTAACAATGTACCACTCTGAAGGGATGTTGATAATGGGAGAGGCTGTGCGTGCCTGCGGGTAGGGTATTTGGGAAACCTCTGTACTTTCCCTCAGTTTTGCTGTGAACCTAAAACTGCTCTGGGAAAATTAAGTCCCTTAAAAAAAAAACAGTTCTGGCTGGTGTAGCTAAGTGGATTGAGCAGGGGTCTGCGAACCAAAGGGTCACCAGTTCAATTCCCGGTCTAGGGCACATGCCTGGGTTGCAGGCCAGTTCCCCAGTAGGGGGCACGTGAGACACAATCACACATTGATATTTTTCTCCCTCTCTTTCTCCTTCCCCTCCCTCTAAAAATAAATAAATAAAATCTTCAAAAAACAAAACACATGGGCCTTTCCGTGGCTACTGGGCCCAGAGCATCCCAGACACGGTCACTAGGGGAAGAAGAGGCTGACATCTGTCAGCCTGCCCATCACAAGCCCAGGTTTTTCCAGGCTCACTTCCTCTGACACACTTCTCTGCACCAGCCTCTTGAGCCCCATTCTCCCTCCTCACCCGCTTTCCCTGTGCCTGATGGCCCTCAACATACGTGTAGAGGCATGAAGCCAGACCTCACTTTCTGTACTAACTAGTGCACATGCAGGCCATCAGTGCTGAGGCCTGGAAAATGACAAAGGGCTGGGTGTGAACGCCAAACAGCGTGCTTCTCATTTTAGGGAGAGCCGAGTCCAAAGTTTATACAACTCCTGTAACCTTCGAAAAACCACCACCGACAACAAAGCTTTTCATGTATCTGTCAAGATAAAGGTCCCAATCAGAACGACACATCATTAAAACATGGAAGCCCCTCACACGTAAGGGGAGATACCCTCCCATACTGCGTGTGTGGTGTAGCCTTCGCCAGCCGACAGAGCGACTGCAGGGAGGGGACCTGTGAAAAATTTCCCGGAGGCATTGGAATTTAAACAGGCCCGAGAAGAATTGCGTACATCCAGAAAGGAGCACACTATTTTAAATAATTTGGGTTTAAAATCTGGTCGAAGAGCTATCTGACATTCCAGCTGCCCTCTGAACAATGCAGACAGCACAAACATTTCCTTCGGCTGCAGGGCCGTCCCCAGAGCTGTCACCACCCTGAGGGAGAACCTCCAGAGATAGCAAGTGGAAGAGGAGAACTGAGAAAAAGAATTATGGCAGTTTTCACTGTCCCTAATTCAGAGGGAGCAAAAACAAGCACAAACCTAAAAGACAGCGAGAGCACACTTGGACTGCCGCTGGAGAATTATTTGACACATATTTACATGTTGCATACTAGACTACGCAATCCTTTTAGAGCAATCAACGTTTTAGAAGAAAAATTGTGTGCTGAGCCACAGCTGACATTCTACGAGTCTCAGGACCAGGAAAGAATGTATTTTCTTAAACAAATCACATCTGATCCTTAGTTACTTGAGTCCAATGAAACGTCTGTCAGCCCAGGCAGGGCCCCCTTCTTAACTGACCAGACACCAGCAGCTCGACAAATACGGCTCAGAAAAGCTGTCAAAGCCTTTAGAGACATTTTTCTTCCATGAAGCTGGCTGTGGGCTGCACCTGTGAGCTGTTCCTTCTGTAGTCGATGCAGTGAACTATCCTTCTTGTCCACCAAAGCTCTACAGCAGGGGTGTCCAACCTTTCTGGTGTCTCTGGGCCAACCGGAAGGGGAGTTGTCTTGGGCCATACATTAAATACACAAACACTAATGAAAACAAAAAGAGAATCTCATAATGTTTTAGGTAAATTTACAATTTTGTGTTGGGCCGCATTCACAGCCATCCTAGGCTGCACACGGCCTGCACCTCTCAGGTTGGACGCCCCTGCTCTAGGGCTTTCTGGGCCGTTTTTACTGCCACTAATTATGGCAACATGCAGACGACCCAAAGAGCTCTTGCGACAGGACCCTGCACCTGCCACTCCCTATGTCTAGATGTTCTCCCCCAGATATCTTCTCTATGTCTTTGCTCAAATGCCACCCTCAATCCCTGAACTCCTGGACGGCCCTTACTCAGCTCCAGGGTTGGAGGAAAGACCTCCCTAAGAAGTGCCCCTAAGAACCTGCAGGCAGTGAGTGAGCGAGTTTTGTGCCCCCAAGGTTGGACAACGGCATGCTGAAACCAGTCTGTTTCCCAGTTTCCTATTTCTCACTCGGCTACCCGAGGTCAGCCACTCATCAGCCTCTCCAGCTTAAGCTCCCACCACACGGTAACCAATGACACTGCACCTGCCTGCCACTGCCTCCAAAAGTCTTTGCTTTACCTGAGATAAACCAAAGGCACAGGGTCCCACCAGTTCCCAAGCAAAAAAAAAAAAAGCACCTATCTTCTGTTGGCTGTGGGCTCCTGAGCAAAAGCACTTGCATTCCCGATTTGTGCTATGCTGAGACTGCAGATATCCTTCGCCACCGGAGAAATGTGACAATCAGGTGAGACCGCTGCCTGTCCACGCAGCACAGATCAAGGGGCACTTGGCTTCCGTGGTCACTGTGATTTTTTTCCCTCCACGTGCATAGTGGCTTGTGTTCTGTGAGCCAGTCCTCAAGTCTTTGCAAGCCAACTTTTTCTTTCCTTTCCTAAACCTTCCTTGCTGTCTCTGAGTCTTGGCACAACTAACCCACACATACCCCGTGCATCTCTGCCCACCCCCACCCCTGCCTGCCCCATGGAGGGGGGCAGGGGAGAGCGCCAGAGAGTGCAGTGGCACTGGCTCGTGGCAGTGGCCCTGGGGACACCAAGTCGGAGATGACGCTGGCTGGTTGCCCCGCGGGTCACCCGACGAAGCGGAGTGTGAGATGGGGAGAACAAGCAGGAGATCTGGGAAGAAACTCCGGACCTGGGTGGCCCGAAGGAGCCGCTTCGCTCTCGGGCGTGGAAGAGAACGCGCAAGAGGGGCAGCAGCGATGGGCTGAGGGGGGCGGGCAGTTGGAGAGCTGGGAGGAAGGGCTTGTCCCTTACAGGCGAGGAGGGTAGTGGTGAGAGGGGACCCGGGCTGACATATCCCACGGAGAGGCCTCCAACCCGGATCCAGCGCAAGCCCCAGGAAGGATTCAGGGACTGGAGGGTTCTGGGGGGCAGGAAACCAGAAGGAAATGATAAGAGGACGAGGGACTAGCTGAGTCTCCCGCGGGGTTGTGACCTCAGACAAACCAAACTCGCCCCACCCCCAGCCGGGGACAGGCAGGACCCAGCGGCTTCACATGTGCCTCAGGCCCAAAGAGCGAGAAAAAGGCGCTCTTCGCAATGGAAAAGTCTCCGCGGGACCCGGACAAAGTCGGGATTCGGGATTCGCGTGGTGCGGGGAATGGAAGAGACCCGAACTCTGTGGGGACGCCTGCTTACCCGGCCATTAGGATCTGTCTCCTGCACCTCCTCAACGCGCGGTCCCCGCCGCACCAGTGCCTTCAGTAGCCCCACGTCGTTGGCGCAGGCGGCGCTCAGGAGGGTCGCCGCCTCCGGGACGCCCTCTGGGACTCCCTCCGGGATACTCTCCGCGCTCCCGTCGCTGTACTCTTCCTCGCTTAGGGTAGGGTAGAAGGAGTCGTCCGAGGTGATGCTGCGGGTGTCGGGCAGATGCGAGAAGTCCTCGTACTCCTCATAGTCGGTGGGGTCTTCCCTGGCCCTGGTTTCCCGAGGTGGGGACGGAGGCTGCGGAGACACGCAGCGCGCCCCGCCGCCCTCCGGCCCGGGCCCCGCCAGCAGCACCATGCGGTCGGCCGGGGCGCGGGCCGGGGGCCAGGGCAAGAGCTGCGAGACGGGAACTCTGGAAGCCTACCGAGTCACCAGTCACCGTCCCTTGTCCCCTGCGATTTCAGAAGAGCAGAGCTAGGTGCGCTCCAGGCTGGCGAAACAGGCGCCTGGCTGGTGCGCGTGGCGTGGCGAACTAAAAGAAACACCGCCCGGGAGAGAACTCCCCGCGAGTGGGAGGAGCCGCAAATCCTGCCAATGGCAGCAGCGGGTGTGGGCGGGAACAGTGGGGAGGCGGCACGCCAGTGTCCCGGGTTCTCAGCCCCAGAGTGCTCAGCCCCAAAAGTTTACCAAGCAGAGGCTTCTCCGCACCGCAGGGCCAGTGTGGCCGGCTCTTTTGCCCCGGAGCTGAGAAATGCGTGCGCAGACTTAGAAGCGAGAACTGAAGAACCCGAAAGCCCGTGTGGAGGGTGACAAGCAGCCCCGCCCTCGCCTCCAGCAGCCGCTGGGGTGAGGACGAAGGTAGAGATCGAAGGACACCTCCCGCGTTGCACGTTAAGAACATCCAAACCCTAGGGGCCCAGCGTGCCCATCGTGTCTTGGCTCCAGCAGAGAGGGGGAAAGTTTCTCAGCGGAGGTGTCGACCCCATTTGTCTCCTCCCCAGGAGTCTGGGCTCCGGGGCTATCCCCACTCAGGGTTTAGGACCGGGGAATCCCAGGATACCGAGATATCGAGGACACCGGGGGATAAGTCGTTGTGGGGGGCCGGGGGCGAGGGCTGCACCGGGGACCGTGAGCTCTGAACTGAGAATTCCGAGCTGCGGCGACGAGGTCTCAACTTGGAAAAGAAGATCCGCAGCCCCCCTCCCCACCTCAGGTCACGCAGAACCCGGGCCAACTGTGGCTTGCGATTGCTCCTAACAGAGCGACTCTGGCACGTGTTCACAAGCCCCAGGGGAAAGTTTGGGTGAGAAGAGTCTGTTCCGGGCCAGAGCCGTGAATGATTCCGCTTCCCCTACCCCTGCCCATTGTCACCGTGCCTGGGACTGGAAGTCCAGAGGGATTACCAGATGAGGCCGGGACAGGGCGCTCACTCCTCTGCTGGCTGCCAAATACGTTGAGCAAGGCCTGGCCAAAGGCGATGGCCTGGGTCCCAGCCCAGCCCACCCCTCCCGCGCGCTGGAGCTTAGCCTCTTTGGGCCTGTCTGGATGCTACGGGTGAGAATTTGCACCAGGAGCCCCTGACCTCTGTTACAAATCTTCGTGTAAAGGCTGTGCACGCAGGCGCTGTGGCGAGTGCATACCCCGAGGGTGCTGGACAGGGGGGTGCTGCCTCTTTGACAGGAAACTTTGTGGGTGGGGACCGTGAGGAGATCACAGAGGAAACACCACTCCTCTCTCTGTCCCGCCTCCCTCCTTTCCTTCCTTTTTTTCCACTGCTCTTGATATCGTGCTCACCAGTTGCCAAACCTCGGGGCACAAAGGTGAAAAAAAATGGGTGGATGTACCAAGTGGGGACAAACCTGGGTGGGCAAGCTGAGGGCCACAGAGGGAACCGCGGTCACAAATACCCCAGGGCGGTGTAGGGGAGCGAGGAGTGAACTAGGAGGCCCCTTGGGCCTCCGGCGTTATGGCGTTACTCAGCGCGGGGATGACCAGCCCATGGTGGCCCCCAGGGCCTCCTTTGACCTCCCCAGAGCCCAGGAGAACAGCGACTTATGGCGAAGGCTACACGCCTGAGCGCACCATGAGCTGGAAGTGACCTCAGAAGCCCTGGCTTCCTCCTCTACTCGGGGCTTTCTTTCCAAAGCCAAAAATAGCCCAAACCGTAGTTTGCTTTTTATACTTTTTTCTATAACTGGCCATATTTACATAAACTCCCACTGGGAATTTCTCCCCTTTAAAGGTTGGCTGTTGCTTTGGTGTTTCCAGAAGCTTAAGTGAAATCAGGGAATTTACCAGTGGCAATGCTCCCCCTCCCAGAGCAAAGTTGGGTTTGCTAGCCCCCCTCTCTCCCAGCCAGATACTGCTCTGTGCCTCTGTGTGGTATTCAAGTGAGTACCTCAGGGGGCAGAGACAGGGTCCCTGGTGGATGGGGCTGGGGGTCCTTTGGGCAGACGCAGCCCTGGAGTGAAACACTGGCCAGCCCCTTGGTCCCCATCACCTCGTCACTAAGGCTCAGAATTCAGGCTCTGTCTTCAGAATGCACCACTTCCTCCTTTCCTTCTTAGAAAGTTGAGTCCAAATAGCACTCAAGAGGTTTGCCCTCTAAAGAGAAAAACTTCTAGGACAGACCTTTCCAAATAATAGCTAACGGTTTGTGAGTGATACAGCTCCAAACCCAAGCCCATCATTTTCCTGGTTTGGAAATGTGCCTGGTGACAACCCCCCACCTTGTACCACCAGAAGCTCCAGAGACCTCAGAGTTCACACCCCTGGCCACCTTCTCAACCACCCCACGTATTTTACCACAGAAACAATTGATTTTCAACATTGCTAAAAGAACACAAAATTAGGCACAGGTAGTCAAGTCCACATCTATTTATTATGTGTACAAAATCTACATAAGGGGAGAAAGTAGTTAATCAAAATTGCCAAAATACTCAGAATAACTTTAAAATCAATAACATTTTGAAAAATTGTATTTTACCCAAGAACTTAACATTTCGATGAGCTATTTTAATTTATGATTTTAAAGTCAATTACAATTAATATACATCAATTATGCAAATTGTTGATTTAGTTGAAAAATTTGTCCTTGGGCCATTAAAAAAATTAACTAACTTCAGTGATATTTCTGGAGCAGGCCACGTAACTGCACTCCCTACAACAGGAGGATCTTTCCAAATTGCAGGCAATGTGTTTGAAGACTGAAAAGGGAACACCCCTGGAGTGGTGCTCAGCCAAATTTTGTTTGGAAAGAGAAGTTGGGGGAGGGGTTCCTAGTGGCGCAGCAAACCCAAGCCCACGCCACCATTCATAAAACATTAGAGTCCCACCTCCACAGGGCTAGAGTGACTTTAAACCTTTGCACATTGTTCAGGATTTAGCACACCATGAAGTGTTAACTTCCATTACTACTAAAATTAAGGTATCCATCCCCCTGATAATATAAACTGCTTTGCAGAAGCTGCTTCTACAAATTTGTTGCCTTATTTGCAGAGAGAACTAGCCCTTATAAATTAAAAATGCCTTTGATTTTTTTCTGCATGGGAGGCAGTGTGGCTTAGGCTAAAGAGCAGACTGGTTGTCAGACAGATTTTCAATTATGGCTCTACCACTGCTGCTTTACCTCCAGAGTAGTGATGCCTATCACTACAGGTTTACCAGTGTTTATCTGATCAATCACTTACCCGTCCCCCCGCCCCCGAAATTTTTAAAGAAACCTTTTATTTGGAGATAATGAGACACAGCCCTTGTGTCTTGCATCCCACTTCTCTAGCACTAACACCTGAAGAACCAGAGCCACAGCCACCATCGGGGCAATTTGCCTTTTTAAAGATCAGAAACACACTGCAAACACTCTGATGTGTTACAGTTAATGATACAAAATATTCAGGAACCAACTGTTACATTCTTTAAAGGCTAATTTCCCCCAACCTCTCTCACTTGGCCAAAACATTGGGCTGAACTAAGAGTTGAGTGATAGATACTTTTGCTGCAGCAGAATGGAACAATGGTAAACTTCCCTCCTTCCTGTTGTGTGCAGTATCCTGATTAAAATGAGTATTTCAGAGAATTTTCACATCAACAATTCAGGAGGCTGCTGCTTTGCTGGACCATATAAGCTCCTGTGAAACCACAGTCGTGCCCTGGCTGGCATGGCTCAATGGATTGAGCACCAGACTGTGAACTGAGGGGTCGGTGGTTCAATTCCCAATCCAGGCACATGACTGGGTTGCAGGCTTGGTCCCCTAGTTAGGGGCATTCAAGAGGCAACCTTTCACATGTTGGTGTTTTCCTCCCTCTCTTTCTCCCTCTCTTTCTCCCTCCCTTCCCCTCTCTCTAAAAAATAAATGAATAAAATCTTTGGGAAAAAAACACACAAACACACCCAGCCACGTCTCCACAAGTTGGGAGACTCCGCGGAGCATGGAGGGCCTTGCAGGCGGCAGGCACATTGCCCCCAGGGGTCCTGGCTGGCACTGGCACTGATGCTGAGGCAGATGCCCAATCACCTGTTCTTGATATTTAGGGTATTTCTGGCATTTTCTTACTGTGCACACTGTCCAGGTATTTCTAATGCACCCTTGTTCAGGTATCCTAAGAATCACCCATATCAAGTGGCCTGAACTTTTTTAACTCCAGCATTTTCTTTATTGCTGTATTCCAATGGTAACCTAAAGTCTAGATGAGGAAGAACCCCCCCCCAAAAAAATGTGTAAAAACTGTTCTGAGGGAAAGAGGCATGAATCAATGGAGAGCCATACCACTGGTGTTCCATTGCCTCACTCCCACTTTCCCTCGGAAATCACCTTTGAGGGTGGAGTTTGGAGGAGCTCATTACCTTCTGGGGCTTGCAGCAGGCTCCTCCAGCTCTCTTGGTCCCTATAAGAACAATTGGAAGTGAGGGAGAGGGACATCTCTTAGCCACCCATTTCTTAATTAAAAATAAAAACAGTTTTAAGTGAAACAAAATTATTTGGCTTGGAGTTTTTGCAAACTTTCCTGAGTTGACTGCTAAAAGTGGAAGCAACCTAGAGTGTCCTGAAGTCAATCTACAAAACTGCAAGCCAGTTTGCCTTTCTGATCTGCTTAGAAATACAAAGACAAGTATCTGTCTATAGTTTTGAATCTCTCCATTAAAGAGGTTAACAGCTCTTTGGCCCTAACTCAATTCAATTGACAGGAACTAGATCACTTCCAGTATAATCTGAATGGATGTAACCATTTAAGAACCTCATTTTCTTTTAGGGAGGATTTCTGCCTTCATGGTTAAATATTTGGAAGGAAAATATGAATGTATGCACCTAACTGCCAAATCTTCTGCCTTCTTCCTGCTTTTGACATTAATTAGCAATTATGGGTTATAACTGGAGAACTCATGTTTACTCCCAGAACAAAGAGTCTTGGCTCCTCACCTTAATAAAGGTGGTTGGGAGTTCTGGCCAAGATGGAGGGGTAGGTAGATATGCTTCACTTCCTGACACAACCAAAAGAAAGATAACAACCAATGT